TTAGCATTTTAAAATAAAGGGCATATAACTGTAAAAATTACTTGACGAATACAATGTGAAAGCCTTTTTTATATAACTTTTTAAGTACCCAGTTTTCTTAAGAATTTAAGAAAATAAATAATTTAATATTATTGAATTTTAGATATTTTGGTTTTGTAGTCTTACTTACGTAGACGCTTGTTGAGGAAATATTAGAAAGTTACCAATAAATTTTAAATTTAGTATAGTTATCGGTTTTATTTTCTGATGTCATGTGCCCATATTTACAAAAAAATTGAAATTTGAATTTGAAAAATTGAAATTTCTTTTTAAAATATTGTGGTTCGCTGAATTGTAGTAAGCTTTTCCATTTATGATTAAGAAAAATTTTTTTTTTAATAACAATATAACCTAACTGCTACAAATTAATACCGAATTTTAAAAGATTTAAAACTTTGTAAATTATTATAATTAAACAAAAATGAAGAAAACAGTTCTTGTAAAAATTCATTATTGATTGAAAAATCGTTTTCTTAAAACAATAATGTCCATAATATATCTTATTCATAAAATATCTTATTCATAAAATATCTTATTCATAAAATATCTTATTCATAAAATATCTTATTCATTGAGGTAATTAAAATCTTTTCTAATTAAATAATGTCTTAGTTTTATTGTATTTTTATTTTACAATTCTGAGCAGATTTTTGTAACTGGAGTTCTTGTTTTACAAAAAGAATTGATGACTTAAATTCTCCAAGGACTCGTGTATATAACTAATATGAACATTAAACTCTGAAAAATGAATTTTTCGAAATTTCATAAATAGGAGATAAAATAGGAGGGGGTAACAAATTTTTACCAAGATTTTCTAAAAAAGGAAACGTTTCAAAGTATATCTCGTGCGGATTTTGTATATATATTCATTGATTTTTATGTATTAGAAAGATATATGTTAGATTCATGGATAATGGATCTGTAGAAAAATGGTGAAGTAGTGTTGTGATAATAGCTGGTAGTATTTCTATAAATATGTTTTCATAAAATTTTCTTTTTAAAGAGTACCGTTCTTTTTTTTAATAAGGCTGGTATTGAAGAAATTAAAGTTATGTCCAACGCCATTGCGGTGTAAGACGAGAAAGTTTGAATGTCTATCTAAACGCAAGTCTCTTTTGAGTTCCTGGACGCGGGATTTTAGATCACGTGATGACTCCCATATGTACATTTTATTGCCCTGTAACACTTTAATGAAAAATCAAACAAAAATAATATTTTTCAACACATCAAACTGCATCATACTAACTTTTACACACTTTAGTGTTGAGAATGTTTGCCACACATATTTAAATATTATCTGTTACTTCATTACATATGACATGCATCTAACCAATAAGAATTAACCAAACACAACATACCATTAATCTGCCTCTCTTTGCTTTATATCATTTTTTATCATTTCTATCTTGAACTCTCTAAAGTGAAACATGTGTGAATCGCGGGAGTGTGAAACTTAAATGGCAGTTCTAATTATGTCTCTTCTGAGGTGTGACGCTGTGAAATGTTTTTTCTCTGGCTTACTAACCAATATATGGAGCACTGTTGCTTACTATTTGTGTAGGTGTTTGTCTTTTTCTTAGTTTGTTTATTTTCCCAAACTTATATAGGTTTTTTTGATTTCTATTGCTAGTAAATTTTATTTTATTCATTTATTTTTGTTCATATATATATATATATATATATATATATATATATATATAGAATAGTCATGGCATTTCAGACAGCAAAAACTCATTATCGCATTGTAATAATCACAATTCAAATTAATAATAATAATAATAATAATATGCAATATCAATAAAATAAAGTAAATTAAATAAAATAAAATTTTAAATAATGTAAAAAAGAATTAATTAAATAAATCAAGAGATAAATTAGGAACAAATTTAAAGAACAACTTAAAACATATATAGACAAGTATAAAAATGATAAAAATAATACTATCAATAATATTAATATAAAAATAATATTAATTAATAATTTAAAACTATAGATGATGTAGGCAAGACAATCACATATCTGAGAACATCAAACAATGTGAATACACGTACACATACATGTTAGTACGCATGTAAAACAGAATCAACACTTCAAGTGTATATCCTCCAAAGCCAATGATTTTAGGAAATTTTAAATCTGTGTTTGTGTCTACACTTGAATTTAAGTTCGTATATATATATATATATATATATATATATATATATATATATATATATATATATATCACTTGAAACGTTATTTTTAGTGGCTACTCATGTCTGAGTAGACGCTCCGTTTTTTTTTATCAAACAGGTATACGTATTTATTTTCGTCTACCGGCCTAAATGTTCAAAAAATCTAATTAAAAAAAAAAAATTCACTTCTCCGGCAGAATTTTTCTTCAATGGTATTTCTTGAACATTCAGACCAGAAATAAATCAGCATAATGTTTAATAAAGAAACGGAGTGACTACTCAAATACGAGTAGCCATTAAAAATAACGTTTAAAGTGATAAAAATTTGCCGGGTTAATAAAAATTATATTCTAATATAAGGCACAGTGTGTGTGTGTGTGTGTGTGTGTGTGTGTGTGTGTGTGTGTGTGTGTGTGTGTGTGTGTGTGTGTGTGTGTGTATAACGAATGCACGGCCGCAATTTTCGACGGATTTGCACCAAAATTTACATGCACATGCTTCAAGTTAGCGGGAAGGCCAAGACCGACCTTGCATTTCCCAACTCCCATCGATAGTGGAAATAATCGTTTTTTTTCATGCTTCTACGGCAGTTTTCATGTAGTTTGCGACCATTTTCTACTGGCCAGAGTGAGAACATATAGCTGGCTGCCACGAATAGGCAGGAAGATTCTATTGGCCAGCGTGAAAGCCAACAGCTGACTGACACAAGTGTTAACTAGCATGCTAGCATACAAAAAAATCGATAGCTGCATTCGTCACAAGTGAAAAAAATTTAAATCTGCATGGCACTTTACTCCAATTGGCTCATTCGCTTGCTTAAACTCAACGTTGATTCTGATTCCGCAGAACTGGGTTGGGTGTGAAAAGTATTTGTTGTTAACATTCTTTTTCATTCGGTTTTTCCAGTTACGAGTCCTTTTTTTATAGCTGATCGTTTTGTGTTCATTTTGTTTAGTTTTTTTTTTCGTAACAGATTTAATGTTTAGTATAGAGCTTAGAAAATATTCGCAGTGTGAGATAGGCAAGAAGTATAGGCATGTAGCAACATCAGCACGGCAAAGGACACTCCTTTAAAGGCAAGGAAAGGCAAAAATCTTTTAAGTCAAGTGATAGCGATTGCTGTATGAGTCGTACGATGTTTGAATCAAGCACGGGCAACGCCGGGCCATGCTACTAGTATATATATATATATATATATATATATATATATATATATATATATATATTAAGCCAATTTTCCAAAAAAGTTGGCTACAAATGATATTAATTTCGAAACATTCAACAAAATCAATGAATGAAAGATTAATGAATTTTATAGACTGTTACGGAACCTATAATCAGTCACATGGAAAATAATTTATTCTTGTACATAGGATATTGTGTTAATTATGTTTCTGTCACCTCTATTTTACGTTGCATTTTGTATGGGAAAAATAAGATTTAAGAATATGAACTTAAACCCATCTTGTAAAATATGCCAACGTCAAATTTTTGATGTTAAAAATAAGACACTGTGCTGTCATATCAGCGACATTTTAATTTCCGGAATGACTACTGCGCGTGTTATACTGTTTTTTTTTTGTTTTTTTTTTTGTTTTTTTTTGTTTTTGTTTTTTTTTTAATCGAGTTCACCCCCAAGCAAGGCAGTAAAGCCACTAAGACACCAGGGATTACTGGCTGTGGAAGAATTATAAAACAGAAACATTACTAAGGAGCTAGAACAAAAGAAAAGTAACCGGGAGGACAGCAGATAGCGATTGACATTGCATTTAAAATTTTTACGATTAAAGTTGACTGGAAGCATGGGGCCGGAAGAGATTTCCACAAGCGAGAAGTGCGATAGAAGAAACTATAAGTATAGAACTTACGGTTACATGTAGCCAACTGAACTGTATATTGATGAAACCTCGTTGCCTGTCTAGTATTACGATTAAATTCATAAAGTCTAGGTACCATGGGGAAGTGCTCATCTGAACAATTACCATGAAGGTATTTATAGAAAAGGTACAATGAGTCAACTTTATGGCGGTGGGAAAGTAATTGAAGCCGAGATGCCAGATCTCTATGACTAGGAGTTCGCAAGCTCCTGGCTAAGAAATCTATTGCAAAAATAGGTAATCCACGTTATCCATTAGGCTTAGTCTTGTATGTTATTTTGACTGTTTTCAAATTAAAAAAAATACTCTGAAAGCATTTGGAGCCATCCTTGACACCCAGCAATTTGTGACTACATTACTGAAAGATATTCCGAAAAACAAGGACCGAGAATAATTCCATGAATGGCACCATGGTCTCTCGAAAGGGGGTAATTTTAAGATGGCGGCAACTAATAGCCACCAAGTAAACAAATTTTTCATTCACGGGACAATTGTGGGAATTAAATTATTATCCGGCATAGAGCAACTATATACGCAAACACACAAGAATTATACACACGAGTGCTGCTTGACAGGACAAATACATTTGAGATCTGCTTAACCAATGAAAAACAAACACAAAAATACAAAAAATACCGAACATTTTCTTTCTTCATATATCATGAATGAATCTGATGAAGCTTAAATAAAAGCGAAATATTTTAAATTTATCAACATTGCTTATATATTCCTAATCATATCCCCAAATAAATATATATATATATATATATATATATATATATATATATATATATATATATATATATATATTGTCATCCACAGACAGACTGTTTCGCTGTATCACGCTGCATGATAGACAGGCTGGTGAATTTCTGGTCGACTGGTGATGCGGTATCGTCCTTCCATTCAGTAGGAGGAAGAGTGAGCATCTCGTGTATGATAACCAACGAGAAATCACCCTCACCTTTATCTCGACCAAGCCCTTCACTCTGACCCTACATGATCGCGTCATCCCCGCCACCAGATCTAGACAACGCCCTCAACAGGCTGGGTTCACGTTCGCCTTTCCCCCTCTGCTTTCTGCTTTTCGGTTCCTCATGGAAAAGTTCCGGGAGTACAGAAAGGACCATCACCTATACGTCGCTTTCATCGATGCGAAGGCAACCTTCGACACAACTGATGTTGTGGAATATCCTGTGAACCCTCGTCTTCCTGCGGAAGAACTTCTCTGGCATTCGACTCAGAGACTACGAACTAATAGACCTAGCCTACGCCGATCTAGAAAGGACACACGACGTTTTCAACGAGGTGACAAGGCTTCGGCTGCGCGTAAACCGAAGCCAAAACTGATGTACGTAGGAGACGGTCCTGATCTACCACCCATCCTTATTGGCAACGACCCCCGTCGGGTTCGTTACGTGTTTCGTCTACCTGTGCTGAGGAGTTTCAACACCACCGTCCGCTATAGTATGAGGCGCCGAAACCCTCAACTCCTGCATTCATGGCTTCGAATCACGCACGTCAGGACCATCGAAGGAATGCACTGTTCCTATCTTGTGTCCAACGAGGAGATCCGCCAGAGATCTGGTCAGTTATGAATCGTTCAGCGCTGTTCGTTGGCTCGGTCACATCCTGCGAGTTATCTACCATTTCAGCTCGACGTCTGCAGACAGGAGACGGCCTCAAGGAAAACCACGCAACCGCTGGGAGGACGCTGTCCGTCATAACCTCCAGCAGGTTAATCTGGCTCTAGATGATGTCCCAACGCTCTGCCAAGACCGTGAGAGCTGGAGGAGCAAGGTAGACCTTCTATGCTCAACGCCTTCATAGTATGATATTTATGTGTTATCTAGTAAGCTTAGCTTCGATCTCTCACAAAGACACAAGTATACTGCAATCAGTTAGGATCAAACTCACTATTCAGTAGTAATGGGGGAACCCAATAATGTGGTTGACTATTATCCCATTCCGAAGTAGACAAAATCAGTTACAAATTGCGAATCTACTGATGCATCATCGTACATTGACGAACTGGTAATGTGAAAAGTGACTACTATCATGTAGGACCTCCTCAAGCCCAGTACAGCAATTCGACGTCCCCTCTATTCTACAAGACGTCGGAAGACTCCTTGGGGGATATTGAGCCATGCCGTATCGATAACTGTAGCTCTTTGATATTTGTAGGAGTACCTCCACAGGACGTCCTGAAAATGCTTGATTCAACTCATGCTGGAAGGTTGTGGAAGCCAAATCATTCGTGGAAAGTTTCCAAAATGCTTCTCAATTCTGGGTCACTTAGGTCCGATGACAAAAGGGCATTATCCTGCTGGAATAACCCATTATTGTTGAGGAAGGAACAGTATGCCACGTAAACAAACGCCGCTTCATTATTGAACAAGTACGAGCTCTGATTGCGCGGTGTTGCCAACTGGAGTTCATGGCCTCATAGGGTCTGTACCATTACCTAAACGCTACTATCAGCACAAAACAACTAAAACTGTGACTCATCGGACGACGTCAAACCATTACCTGCCAGGGTCCAGTTAACGATATCACGAAGCATTGTGTCCGGTGTCGTCGTATATCCCATGAAAAATAAAAAAAACCCACTGAACTGACTTGATACATGATTGGTACCTTCTACGTTAAATGTGAACGTAATTTTAGCCAATGTCACGTGTCTCTTATCACAGGCAATTCTATCCAGAGGTCTCTGGTCACGATCATTAAGGATCTGTTTTCGGCCATTGCGTTATTCCTATTAATGCCTTCTGTCAGGTAAGAGATGTCAAATAGCCCCAGAGTTTCAAAAATGGAATGTCCCGTCCGTTTGGAACAGACCAACAATTCCAATAATCCACGTTACTTTGTCATAAACAGCTTGACTCACTAAATATCAGAACATAATTGATAATGGTCTCAGAATTTCTATGTCAACGTACGGCGGGGACATCCACTATTGCCTTTATATACTGACAACACATGACTTTTGCCACACCAGTGTATATACCATCAGCGTGTGTTAGGGTGATTAATCGACAAGAATTCGTTGATCTCGTTAGTTGTATCCGATCTATACTTTCCATTTAACAAGATCAAATATTCCATGTTTATTACTTAATTAAATGTCTATTTAATAAAATAATATTAAAAAACACTTATGCCGAGTACATTAGCAGCTGTTACCGTTTGTCAATAAGTTCAGAAACAACTGTTCTTTCTGTAAAATGCGATAACGATGCGAAGAGGAAAGGTAGAATGGGTTGGAAGAGTAGAAAAATTTAAATGAAATGTTTTATCGACAGGAAAACTGTCGGAGTTTGTTGTAACACTACTGGTATTTTAAGAGCAGTAATAGACTTGGACACATTCCTTGTTATTGGAGGAGACAGTCTCGTAAACGTTCCTTTCGCGCTTTTACGTCTGGGAGTAGAATTCGTGAGTTTTCCTTTCAACTTTTACGGTTTGGGATCAAGTCGAAAGCTTTTCTTTCGCCTTCTGGGGGTTTCGGATAGAGTCGTAAGCTTTCCTTTCGTTTTTTTTTTTTTTGTGGGTTTGGGATAGAATCGTAAGCTTTTATTTCTCTTTTTCGGGGCTTGGGTTAGAGACGTAAGCTTTCCTTTGGCTTTTGTGGGGTTTGGGATACAGTTGTAAGCTTTCTATTCGGCTTTTGCGGGGTTCAGGAGAAACTTGTGACATTTTCTTTCGCCGTTTGGGGGTTTAGGATAGAGTCGTAAGCTTTCCTTTAGGTTTTTCGGGGTTTGAGATAGAGAATTAAGCTTTCCTTTCGCCTTCTGGGGCCTTGAAACAGAGTCGTGAGCTTTAATTCACCTTTTGGGTGTTTGGGATAGAGTTGTAAGCTTTCCTTTCGCCATTTCGGTATTTGGGATAGAATCGTAAGCTTTTCTTTTCGCCATTTCGGTATTTGGGATAGAATCGTAAGCTTTCCTTTAGACTTTTGGGTGGTTTGGGATAGAGTTGTAAGCTTTCCTATCGGTTTTTTTTTTGTGGGGGGATAGAGGCGTAAGCATTTATTTCGGCTTTTGCGAGCTGGATAGACTCGTAAGCTTGGGATAGAATCGTAAGCTTTCCTTTAGACTTTTGTGGGGTTTGGGATAGAGTTGTAAGCTTTCCTTTCGCTTTTTTTTGGGGGGGGGGGATAGAGGCGTAAGGTACCGTGCCCTGTTTTAAGCTTTAATTATGGTTTTATTTAATTGCAGTTGCGATGAAAAGCGAAATTAAAGTTTAACCTTTAATAAAAAAAACTGCTTTTTTTAAAAATCTTTCACTCTGTTCGTTATTCAAATTTAACTTTAAATAAGTTATTTATTTAATTTTTAATCGCGTGTAACTACAGTAGAGTTACTACCTGTTACTTCAGGTTGTTTATGATTTGCTGAGATTGAAAAATGGACGGACAGACAGACACACGTACACTACGCTTTATTTATATAGATTCATGACGTTGGACGAAATAAAGGGTCCTATTCGAAATTCCAAAGTATATCACATGAAGAAGGCCGGAGCGTACAGCGGCTGAAACGTCGTGGATATAACAATAAAAATGAGGACAACTGCTCGAATAGTGTAAAGAGTTACAATATCTGATTTCAGAAATATAGACTGATATTTGTATTATTATTATTTCAATATCGGACACTGCTTTTTTAAAAACCTGAATCTTATAAACCCATCATGATACTATACTATAGTTTAGAACAATGTTTCTCAACCTTTTTTACTTCAGGGCACACTTGTAGAATAACTAAAATTCTGGGGTGCACTTTAAGTTATCACTCTGTATGTGACTTCATTTGCTGTACAAAAAGTTTACCCTACCACTGAAGGAGACTGATCCCTGAACAACTTAGAGTGAAATTAAGAAGAAGGATACTTCAATTAATAGCCATGAAAAAGAATGCAGTGGGATGTAATATTAATAATGCAGAATGCTAAAGGTTTTAATAAGGAAAAAACTAGTTAGGAAATCTTGGTTCATTATTCCCAAATACAGCAATACAGTCTTTAATTGAATGGATTTATGAAGACTCTGCTTCTCGTTTTTTAGAGAGGCTAATAATGACTGCTTTAAATCCTTTGAGGAAAACGAAAGGGTACGGATTATCCTTTTTAAAGATTAAAGTATTTAGCATCCAGTTTAAAATATCAAAAGAGAAAGACTTGATTTAGATATGGAGGCCATGTGCTTCGTGTCTCTAGCTTTTTAAAAATAAAGAATATTTAAATATAATAATAATAAATGCTCTTCTGTTAATTTGGATCGAACCTGGCTACATTTCAGGGCGCAATAGTGCATCCGGGCCCACCGGATCAGAAACAGGTATTTAGAATATTAATTTTCAATGTTATGCTTTATAGTTTTCATAACGTAATTTTAAAAGGCGTGTTTTCCTAAAGTTCTAATCAGACACACCTATCAAGCCCCAAGATCTCGCCTTCTATAAATTGTTTCCCTGTCTTGGACTTACAAAGACGTCAGTTGAAATAAATTACTGATGGCAGTATATGTGCATTTCAAGGGCATATTTTATAAATGCATTTGATAATCGTAATTGAACCAGTAAAAAAAAAATAGAAAGGAAAGAAAACAAAAACATTGAATCAAATTTGGGAGGGCAAAGAAGTACAAGCACCCACCCACCTCTGAAGAAGGCACTAAAAGTAAGTAGGATGATGAAGGGTGGATGAATATAAAACTGGCAAGAATCTTGAATACCTGCCAGGATGTAGAGAATGCAAATCACTTGAAAATATTACTGTAACCATAAAATGTAATGTTTTTAATATCGACAACAACTTAACGAAGACCCCGAGAAACGTTCAAAGCAGTAAATCCTCAACACTTGACATTTACATATTTGTATATAAATTCATAAAATTGAATTGAATTTTAATTTTTTGCAGCATTATTTATTACTTAACAATTTAAAATTGCTTAAAATTTTTTGACATTTTTGTTATGTTCCTATATCATATTTTCACTTATTTAAATTCTTTGTAAATATCATTACTTTATTATTATTATTATTATTATTATTATTATTATTATTATTATTTCCTGTGATTTCTGGTGTTTACTCATTTCTTTCTGGGTCCCAACCAGAGACCTAATGTCAGAAATGGCATCATGACATTTTCCACTGATTTTTTTGAGGAAAAAAAGAACAAAACAAAAAACCTAAGGTCACACATATTACATAGATAAAGCCTTTTGTAAGGGGTGCGTCGTACTTGTGAGTACAATCTTTTGTATTTCTTTAAGGCATGGGCTTCCAGGAATCCAATCAATGAGTCTATCGGAACCTTTTCCAATCAATCCGAGGCCTCCAACTACAAGTGAAATTGTCGATGTTCTTATATGCTACATTTTGGAGATTTCGATCAAGGTCAATGTACTTTGATAGTTTTCTGAAGATTTTTAAAGATATATTACAGTCTGCAGGGAC